AGGATGTGTGTACCAGTTATAGATGTACACAGCACTGCTAAAAATTACTGTCTAGCTTACAAAAATATTATAAAAAAACAAGTTAACAAAGAAATTTCGATAACAAAACTCTCTCTTCTCCCTGGCAATTTCCCAGCTATAGCCAGGGTCTGCCTTACATGTTGTGAATAGTTTTGGCTATTTGTTTTTACGACCGGCCGCCTGCCTGACATCAACCCTCTTTTGGGAATCAACATTAATCAGTGATGTCTAAATATTCTTAGAAAGTACATATGACTGGAAAAATCACATTGGTACTTGCCCGGGTCAGGATCGAACCCGCGCCCTCGGCAACGAGAGGCGGGCCCTCTAACCATTAGGCCACCACTGATTTTAACAAAACTATTACGTAAAAAATACAAATGAAGAAGAAAGAATATCAAACAACAATCAAAATAAACTACTACAGCTAATTACTACTACTACTACTTTTACTAACAGGACTTGACAAAACATCACTCTTTGTCATCCCACAAGTCAAAAACTTATCTTTATCCTTTCATTGCATCTTACTTCCTCTATTTTTATGTGCACCGAAAGGCTTTTTTTAACAATGGCTCTTCTGATACTTATATAGATTCTTCAGACACCTTGGTACGTTTTACTCTTACATTTGAGTTCTCACATGTATTCCACTATCATTCTTGTTTCTGGCTACCTCTGCTCTTTGCTATATTGTATTGGTGGGAGCCAATTTAATCAATATTTACTTTTTTCTCATGTTTTAATCTTATTGTCATACACTATTGCATGTTTTATTAACTTCAATTTAAGGAAATTTATACATGCTACAGAAATTTTTAGCTCGTGTTAGCTTTTACGTGGTTTCTTGTGTTTTTCTTTTCGGTTTCATTGTTACTACATATTATCATTTATAACTGCGACTTAAACAATTGCAAATGTAAACAAGTTTTTCCTGGAATCATTCATTTCCTACGGCGTCATTTCCAATTACTATTGGGTGGAATGTTAGTTAAGATCTATCTGGAAGAGGGAATAACACGTCCTTTCATCCTTCTGAACGAGCATTAGTACCAATCTTGTCTTTCTAGGGGTAACACACTGTCTCAGACTGTAGGTAGGCAGAATTATAGCCAACACTCGTACCAGTTACCCGCTAGGTTTGGCCCTGGAGTTTTGAAAGTCCAGTTTCCTTATTGGTTACTACCTAGCAGCAATTACTATACGTGATAAATAATAATCTACAAATGTTAATTGAATACATCCATTGTGCCGCCACATTTTCTTTATTATTAGTATAGTAGTTGTTACGATGACCGTTGTTGACATACAGAAAGAATTGTTAAAAGTCAGTTAGGAATTTCAGGTTCGTCTTCTGTTTTACTTAATATAAAATCCAATCGATTGGCAGTCAGTATTTACTTCGTGTAAACTCAATAAAATACATAAAGTTTTAAAATTTATCAGAAAATCTATATATATAAAAGAAAGTTGTGTTAGTTACACTATTTATAAATCAAGAAAGGTTGTACGGATATATTTGTAAATTGGTGGGAAAATAGCTTAGAACTAGGAGACGGACATAGGATATTTAATTCTGTTCGATCGAAAATAATGTCTGGTTATATATGGCCTCTTGGGCGGAATACTATAGATAATCTAAAACAATTCCACAGTATCCAATTCTCATTGCAGATGAGTTCTCATTGTCTTTCATTTCAGATTTACTGAACCCTATGTGATGGTAACTAACATGAATGAATTCTACGTATATATCTTTAAATAAGAATTACACAATCAAAATAAATTATATATTTTTTGTAATAATTGTATTATATAAATCATTTTAGTCCTAGCCCTGTAAAGTGGAGTTACGAATAAGTTAAAATACAAAGATTAACCTAATGAACATAAATAAATGAAATGGTAACATATAAATAAGGCATAATATCTTTTCATTTCTTTTTGGTAAATTATTCGTATATAATTATAATCGTGTATAATTCGTTTATAATATAAATAATTCTCATGAAACGACAAATCGTGTTATTCCAAGTAACTCCGAGTAGGTGAGTCCGGTCTTTGCCAGGACCGGCCAGTCGCTGGTGTGCCCTGTCGCTGACAGATCCGGAGTACACCGACATAGCGGCCGATGGCTTTCGCAGAGGTTTTAGTGAGTAGGGGCCTGCCCAGGCCGAGCCTCACACAGCTCTTCCGGCCCCACCAAGGCCGGTTGGACGGCTCGTAAAAAGAATTTCCCTCCGTTAACAAAAAAAAAAAGGATTATTCCAAGTAACGTAAGATAAATTATAGTAGTTTGGCTGAATTAATTTAATTGTATTATAACAATGCCATCATTTGAAGTTGATTATAAAAATACTTATATATATTATTCCAATAAGTTGTAGGTTACAGTCGAAGTCAAACCTATAAAAGGGTCAATGAAACATCATGGTTTATCTGGTAAATTTAAAGTCCTTGCGTCGTCTATGTACGTTTATATTGTCCTTTAAAAAGTTGTTGATAAAGAATAAAAATATATATATTCTTTGTTATCATGCGTACATATTTTAAAAGATTCCGATTTATGTCTTAATATAGACATTAAAGGAAAACGTTAGATATTTTAGTGAAAGTTCTTTCATACTTATTCTTCAACCTGGTAATTTCCCAGCTTTTAGCCAGGGTATGCCTTACATGTTATGAAATGTTGGGCTATTTTTTTACGACCGGCCGCCTGCCTGACATCAACCCTCTTTGGAAATACATTAATCAGTGATGTCTGAATACTCTTAGAAAGTACATAGACTCTAAAAACCACACTGGTACTTGCCAGGATCGAACCCGCGCCCTCGTGCATGAGAGGCGGGCCTTTTAACCACTAGGCCACCACTGACTTGTATAATACAATTCTCTCATACATCTATTCGTAACTTTTTTAACGCTTTATCATTTGAGGCACACGATTCCTTTTGTTGTTGTTAACGCGGTGAAAGGTTTTATAATTACCCTTCAGTCAAGGAGAGGTGGAGGTGGTTATGTAGGATTCATAGACTAGAAGGACACCATTTTACCCACTAAAATACCAGACGTCACTTTCACTCAACTGGTGAAGCACGCCCCAACACCGTAATACAATTAAGGATCTCAAGCTACCTATTTCCCTCTACTACACACAAATGACAGTCACGGAAACCTGAAGATATTTGATACCAGACGCGTCCAAATGAACTGCCCCCAGTATTAGGTGACCTCTATCGAAGGGATAACCGGTGGCAAGAAACCACCAGACAAAGCACAGGGTCGAACGTAGTAGGCGTTACCTGACCGACCTAGTCTTTGAGACTGGTGTGGCAGGGAACCAAATGAAAGCCTTGTTCTTTGTTTAACCCTCCTTTTAGAACTGTTCCCCTAGTCCGGACAATGACCCAGCAAGAAGGTCAAGGTTAATCTAATCCAAGGTCAAGGTCTATCAGTCGCTTGGACTAATTGGACTTGTTACCCGGTGGTCTATGAAGTCATCACGTCCTAACACCGAAACCACGGCACCAGTATGCGCGAACTGCCAAGCTGGAAAACAAATAGTTAAAATGTTATATCCCTGGTATGAAAGAAAGAAAAAGTATACAGAATGAAAGGCCCTAGAGAATAATAGAACTGGAATGAATGAGTAATAGCTAACAAGGTCTCTGACCATGTCAGAGGGAATAGGTATAAAAAAACACCGAAACCACACGGTCATGACTTCTCAAAGCCTATACAAATAGTACGAGTTTTCTCCATGAAATTTAATCCTAACGGTTGTTTAATTTTCGTTCTATTAAATTAGTATTTAGTTAATTAACGTTGACACTATTCGTGTATAGTTTGACGTTGGAAACACGTACTAATAGCGTGAAAACGTTGTGTGATGATGATAAGCTCTGAGTATCAAGGGAAAGTCGTTTACTCGTAACAATGTAGTACTGAGCGTGTCATTTAAAAGCTTACGAAAACTGTTAACTAAAGAAGATTGGTCATTCAATATGATATTGAATATATGTTTTGATTAAAATGAGTAAAATAACACCTGTAATAGTTGTATAAAATTATTTTTATTGTGTATGAAATTTTTGGCTACAGTTTTCAAATGACAAGCTTAAACAATCTTTAGAATCGACGAACAAATGTACGTAATTTTACTGAAATGCTTTCTTATTTAATTTGCTTAAATACCATGCATATTTATTATTTTAATTACATATTTTGGCACTTTCAGTCGTTTAACCGTTAGCACATTTGCCGTTAATGAAATGTCTCGTAAAATGTAAAATGAAGTAGCTACACGTGGATACGAAAAATATAGTATTATTTTAATGTGAATAAAATCTAAGATATCATTACTATAATTAAATAAAAAGTTGCATTATCGATAGGAATCTTTCAGGTATAACACATTACTATATATATGACACACATACAAATGTAAATCGTCTAAACGATAGAATTATTTGTGGCGTGGATCGATCGCCTCGTGTCCTCTGCGCAGGGCAATGCAGCCTCCTTGTTAAGGGGCAGACAGTTTTACATGTAATATCAATATACATAATATATAATATATTTCAATATAAAAGGATTAAACGTATACAGTTTACATTAAAATCAATATATTTTAAATTTATTTTAAAGCTTTTTTAAAGGGCTTATTAGTAATGTATAATTTAGTCATTCAAATGACATGCGAACAGCATACGTACTATCTAGCTAGAGTAGAACTTCTCCTTAACATTCTCTAACTTCAATCAAACTTACAAACCTTATTCTCCCGTACTCCGGTAATATCATTAAGATGTCTCACTCGTGATGCCGATGTGATATATTAATAAGACGTAAAGTGTTCTGAATCATCAATTATATATACGATGGTAAGTTAAATAATTATTACGAAAGACTAAAGATGATGAAAAAATATATTTTTTTTATTTTATTTATTCCATTTTTGAATTTTCATTCAGGCCAGAATGGAGCTGCCAGTGTTGGATAAGTTCTGTTTTGTGATCAATTTGAAGACGGGATGTATTATAATGGGCATTATCAATTCGGTAATAGAATTAAATCAAATTAATTATATATATTATAATATATGTTAATGGTTATATATTTACAGATACTAACGTTTGTTCTGGCTGTTATATTGATAACTTTCGCTGTTGATATCAAAGATATGGCTGAGTCAAAGAAAGGTGAAGTTGATGGTATGTCTTCGGTGGTGTACACTATCGTTGTACTCCTGGTTGTCCTACTTTTCATCAGGTTCCTTTTCGACCTCGTCTTCGTGTGGGCTGTGTTTAAGGTATTGTTTAATATATTTTGATATTTTCAATTTAATTTTCATTTAAAACGTCTTGTTATTATTTTTTATGATTATTATCTAAGTGAGATATATCTTTGATTGCAACTTGTGTATAATCGATGATAGTAAAACCTAAATTGTCTGCGAAAATTACTGAACATTATTTTTCTTAATTATATGGTATGCATAATCTATTTACTGTATACTATATTGTACGGAATAAAAAAGTAAATAATTTCTTATAGACAAATCAATTTCCATTTATATATACTTAAAATATTAATGTATCTTTACCTTATTTTTTAAACCTACTTTGGATGTGTTTTATATATTTAAATATAAAAATTGGATCACTCATATCTATGTAATTTTTAAATCGATTTTGTTTTGATGTTATTTAACAATATATTAAATATTTGCAGGAAAGAAGCGGTATTATAAAGAAGTATTGTATATTCTGGATAGTGTTCCTCGTACTGTCTATCATCGGTTTTTTGAAGACTCTCTTCCACATGGGCGCTGGTCACGTGATTTCACAGATATTATTCCTGGGTAAGCTTTATAATAAAAAAATCGGGAGTATTCATTTAAATGAAACTAATATTTTTTGGATTATTATACGTATTTTATTATTTTAAACTACATACTAACCACGTTTGGGTTACTTTGCAGCAATAATCTTTCTCATTTCGTCTGCCCGTGATAATGTTTGCTTAAAAGTAACCGAAATTGCGGGAGTACGTAGTTTTTACAATAATAACATCCGAAATATATTAGTTTCATTTAAATAGATAATAAAATTTAAGCATCTTCTAAATAACTTCATTACGACGAAGTGTTTTGCTTCTCACATTTAGTAATGAGTTCTTTATTTAGTAATCATAAAACTAGCTACGTCATTAAACACGTGATTAGTCATAATTGATGTAGTTTTACGTCAACGCCATTTTGTTTTTTAACAGAAATTTGATATTTGTTTATATTTAAATATATTTAGTATTATGAGATCTAAGATTTTTGAGAATATACATTTAAATGAAACTAATATTTTTTGGATATACTACGCGATTTTTAATAAAAACTACTTTATAGCAACCGTGATCACGGGCAGACGATCTCGTAGGTAGTATGTAGTTTTTATCGAAAATAAAATCGCGAATGTAATACTTCCAAAAAATATTAGTTTCATATTTAGTATTATTTTATTGTTTTAATATAATTATAATAATTTTCAGCTGAGAATTTTTACTACATCGTCGTGATCAGGAGCTATTTGATTTCAATTAACGAAGACGGTGTACTTTAAACATATTTTGTATAATATTTTGTATTTATGTAACAGCCATCTTGCAATCCGTTCAGAAACATAGAAACATTTATATTTAACAAGTTTTTAAACTATTTAGTTTTATTTTATAATAAATATTTAAAATTTGATAATTATTCTGACATTAAACACGTTTTTGTGTCATCAATAATATATTGGAGAAAATTATACATACTTAAATTTCTTAAATATATATCTATATATGGTATTACCAAATATTTTATTGTCTGGCTGAAAGTAATATACGAAATATTTTTTATTCTGTGGATAATAACGGTTGCCAGACTAATAAAATTTTTTATATTATTTTGGTACCAAATATGTAATAATTTTATTATAAACGAAAAACTATCGGTAATTCGAAATTGTTCAAAACTTTGTTCCCATTTAATCGATTATGATTCTGACCGCGGATACATAAAGTAATTTTTAGAATTATGGATATTTATATGTAGAAATTTGTAGGGAACAAATTAAATCGTTTGAATTAGATGTTTCCTTGTAAAAGATTGTTTATTAAAGCCAGTTTGCAATGACACGTACTTGTCCTCTAGAGTAAAGCTTTGGTAGTTCAAATTAAAAAGGTTTTTGTTATAAAAATTATATATAGGTTGTGATCTACAAAGAGAAAAATCATATCATTTTTGTAAAAACGTTTATTTGTAAAGGTGGCACTTGACTTGGCGTTTATTTGTTGTGTTCGACGAAATAAGACCATTTGTGGAGGATTTATTCGTCTTCATTTGATATATTTGCACAAATAAGACATATACACAAATATGTGTTGGCATGCCAAGTGTGGATGTCTTGTTTGCGCTATTTGGACTACGTACAAATATTTGGACAAATATTGCCAAGTGAAGTGCCACCTTAAAATGTATGTCATTTTCTGATTAGATTTCTATATATTAATAATCAATGAATTCACATATCGTTGTAAATTTCAATAATTTATACTTCGAAACTTGAACAACGTGAAGCTTTGTTTATAAGAAACATTATATTACGTCAATTTTCAATCATTTCTTAAATATTTTTATATATCCGTTAGTTTATAAATAAATTTAATTTAAGTTATTTAAGAGAATTTAATTTTATGAAATTTAAGAGCTTTGTTATTGGGGACCTCTGCTAGATTAAATGAATGACGTTTAAAAAAATTGATTGACGTTTAACAGTGTTCTGAAATGAATCTCCTTTCAATATATGTATAACTAAATATATTATTAAATGCAATGTAATAGTATTGTACAAGTTCATACTGAATTTAAAATGAGTTAAAAATTTAACAATAACGCATACTCTAAATGTATTTTCTAATAAAAAAAAGGATAATAAACTTTCAACACTTTATAACAACAACGAAAAGGTCCTCTGATAATTATTATAAATACGACTTCCATTCATAATAATAATATCCTGATAATAAAACATTACTAAATATATACATATCTATCGCGCAATTTGAAATTTGTGATTTCTTATTTTATATCTAAGTATACTTCTCTTATATTTTTAATTTAACGCTGTCATCTATGACAATGTACACAATATTCTGCCAATATCACTTAAAAAAAGTTTTTATATTGACATTTAATTATCAATATGACAGCGGTCTGAAGTTGAGGCGATACGTCATCATTGCAACAACTTCATGCCCATCCTTACTTTTTTAGTTTGACAGAAATATACATGGTGACTGGTGAATTACTATCGATACTTGAGGACGTGATATTTGACGATCATATATGACAAAATAAAAATTAATATAACATAAATATTAATAAACTTCTAAGTAAAGTTAACCAAAAGTTATGTAATTAATTACACATCGTATGAACACCCTACAGATTAGGTATACACACACACACACACGCGTGTGCGGCGACGTGGTGTTGTATCAGCACGTCGCCGCACGCGTCCACACTTGGAACACTTGGAACGTGTCCGCACTTTATTTATTTATACGGAAATTTGGTCAAAAATTAAGTACCTATTTTTTTTTACATAATTCGAATGAGAATCATGTACCGAGTATTCTCCTTAAATATTGATAGTAATTCACCAGTCACCCTGTATAAAGTTTTAATTAATTATATATAATAATAATTAATTATATATAAACTGTGGTACTGTCCTGTTGTTTGTAAGTAATCATAGTTAGATGGTTATGAGTGTGTAGGCACCGGAAGACAATAACGTATTATAAATGCGTCCTTCGCTTTAACTAGTTCGTAGATCATGTCTGTCGCGAATGAATGAATATTTTGAATTATTTCGAATATTATTATAATTCAAATTTATAATTTAATTTACGTATTAAAAAAATATTTAATCTGTTACAAATATATGACATAATCTGTTGACGTTTATTCAATTTGCAGTCTGAATTTAAATGTATCAATAGAATTCCTTTTTTAAGTCTAAAATTAAAATTATGTCTATGATTTATTTAATGTACGATAAAATGTTCATTCTTAAATTTTCTCATATAATATTTTAGTGATTTCATAGAAATCTGTGAATGTTGTTACATATCTAGATGTTTATATTATTCTATTTATACTGTGTAACTTAATATTTGATAGAATTTTTGTAATATATACTAGAAAGGTCCGTTCATATTCAACTTAAAACTATTTTTAACTTCCCTCGTATAAGCCATATATATAATTATTTTTATATGTCTAAGAATATTTTTATTTGTATTCTATACCTGTATTTTGTAATAAATATTTGTATATAAGTTTATTTTATATTGGCATAATCCGTCGCCATTTTATATTTATAACCTGTATTGTAAGAAAAAATAACTCTATACCTCTGTAATACAATAAATATTTTAAATTAAGAACTATTAAAAATAATAGTAAGTAATAAAACAATAGAATGTCCATATATTTATATATTTATAATAAGTTTGTTTGTTTGTTTGTACTTATCAGCGGGCCACTATATATAATGCTGGTAAATCCTATATATTTCAATAGATTATATTTACATTCCTTAATGTGAACGGACCTTTAACTTTCGATCAATTGTGAACGCTTTAAATGTAATTATTTACAATTTTTGTATTGATTTTAAAAAAGCTTTGTTAAACGCGTATGATATTCGAATAAAATTAGATAAAAAATAATATATTGTTTCATTCTGCCATGGTAACATTTAAATTACATTTTATTACAAATCAGCTTCTCGTTATAAAGATTTTCAAGAAATTATTAGAAAGGATTTTTATAATGGCAACTTTTTTGACATGATTATTTTTTAAATATTTTTTTAGTTTTGACAACTTTTAGAGTAATGAAAGTTTTTACTTTGAGACCATTATGTTATTCTATCCATCAACATATACTAATGAACATGCCGTAGGCATATAATCTGCAGTAATTTTTTGGTTTGAAAAGAGTGAGAGAGATGGCCTATGCTTTCGGTATAGCACTATCTCTTTCCTCATAGATGATTGGAGCTCAGTTTTCATTATAAGCACGGCATATAAATTTGAGAGAGATAAAGATAGACCGAAACTTCGATTCCTCTCTTTCTTTCGGAGTGCCACAATTCTCATCTCTAAAGCATGTCCATTAGTATATGTCGATGATCCTATCTACCACTTTGACATTGACATATTGGCATTAAGAAAGTCAAAGAAATCCTTATAATTTAAAATAAATACAACTGAATGAATTCAAATGAGGTCAACATTCGTTGTTATTTTTATAAAATATTGATAATTAATGACTATTTAAAAATACAAACACGTATTACATCTGTAAAAAAGACACTTACTTCTTACTAATTATATACAATATACGTGTTTCAAAAAACTTATTACTTATAAGTATACAAATATGGCAAAAAACAGTATCCTTACTATCATTTTTCTCACTACATACTTATAGTTAAGAGTTTTTCATTCATAAATCAATATACAAAGAATTAAATTATTGAATGAGAAATGGTAAACTTTTCGTACGTATTATGACAAAGAAAACTTATGCTAAGCATACTAAACAAAATAGACATTTCATTTTCATTTGTTTAAAAAATTAAACCAAATAAACAATTTAACTATCTACAAAACTTCGTTAAACCATTCTTGATAGCTCTCGTTTCAGAGACATAAGCAAAAAAAACGCCAATTGTGATATTTGACTTGGAATAAAAAACAACGCATAAGTGGGATCGATGGGGACTTTTGACATGTTGTAATAACGTATTCAAACCCTGCACAAAAATCCAGTTTGTTAGAAATGCAAACTGGAATTATAATTTAGTATATTTTGACTGGACTATACACCATAATAAACCAACATAATTCTCTATAATTTAATAAGCAATAATTAATATATACATTAATATTTTGTATTATAATGTTCTTCACATAGGTAATGAACTGCCACCGAACATAATCTTCATGTTCCTATACAGACTGTTGATGACTATCAGATAATATATGGAGTATGCTGTAATAGGAAATAACACATTAAATTAGATTGTTTTAAGTATGAAGGCTAAATATATTTGATTATAATATGTATGTATTGTTTGGGTGATATATTTATATACTGAATGACAATTTTAATAGAAAATAATGTACGAAAAGTTTGGTGATATAAGGAAAATGGAAAGAGATTAGAAAAAGATATTTCGATGGTAGCAGATTTAAATTTTGGTTCTGGAAAACCAGTATGCATATTATTGGAATTAAATTCTATCTAGTATCTAAAGTACATATAAATAAAATTAGAGTGTTTGTTGGTAAATTGACATTTTTTTTTATTATATACGGTATGTACATACTAGCAAATAATATTATTTACAATTTTTGTCTATCTGTCTGTATGTTCTGGCTAATCTTATGAATGTTGGATAGATTTTGCCGGAACTTTAAAATAAAAAGTAACTTAGATTACTTTTTATCCCGATTCCAAATTCCAATTCCGATTTTGCAGCGCTTAAAATATTTTCGCCCATGGACTTTCACAACATGATTTTGCCTTGCCACCCTTGATTGGAGAATAGGGGGGAAAAGGAAAAGGTAAAATGCTTTTATTGTGCTATGCTTATTATATATTATGCTTTTATTGTATACATACCAGCCCCTACTATGATAGTGATAACTATAAGGGCTATGCTGCCAGCTGAGTCCAGATACGGTTGTAATTCGTAGCTGAAAATACATGTGACGACTGCCACCAGGAACAAGCATAGTATGAACACAGAGTTGAAGAGTATGGACATCTGGAGCCAGCCAGGACGACGCTGGAATGAAAGATAACATATTAATATGACTAAAAAGGAAATGTGTTTATCATATATCTCTTCTACCTGGCAATTTCCCAGCTGTAGCCATGTCTGCCCTACATATTGTAAATAGTTTTTGGCTAATTGTTTTTACGACCGGCCGCCTGCCTGACATCAACCCTCTTTGGGAATAAAATGTCTTTATCATATATATGTGAAAAATTTTTATTCCTACAAAATCTTTAAAACGGTTTAAGGCCTTCGTTTCTAAGAAACATATATATTTTCATGATACATAATTACATATATTTCTTTTAAAATCTTATACTTAGAGGCGCAATGTTTTTAAAAATTAAATTTTTTAGACACCATTTTGTACACGAATGATTTTGAAGGTAATTCGAAATACATGAATTATATTTTATTATGTTTTTGTTTTGATTTACAGTGCCGTTTATTTTGATTTGCAATTTTGGAATCTTGAAAGTACAATGTATTAAGTATTGAACGTAAAACTGTTTCTGGGAAAATATTTGCAAAAATGTATAATAAGAATTATTTAAGATATATATTTTCTTCCACAGTAAGTTTTAAATAATAATTCGTCCTACAAATGAAAATGGAGTGCGAATGGAGCTATAGCTTAAAAAAGAAGATATTTAAAAAAATATATTCTGGCTATAGACGTAAATAGCTCAACGTATTAATTCCGCAATTTCCATACATTTTTACAATACATACATGTTTTGTTGTTTTGGATAATTAAAATGTATTTTTCATAAAAACTTTATTAAAAATTATCAAAACCCTGTAAAATATTTTGCTCTTTCACGTTAATTCGAGTTTTTTGCACATAGATTATAACAAATATAAAATATACCTACTATTTTAATTTCTATTTCAGTGCATAGAATAAAACCATTATTTGTGTTGTATGTAACACTAGTCTTGTATAACAAGGAAGCCGAGTCTTATTAATACACAGTATCATAATTGCTCAAGTCTTAGACATTAAGTTCTTGTAATATAATCTTAGGTATCCTATCATTTATAGTCTAAGAGCCAACGATGGACAGACCCTCAGTATTTTATAAAAGATTAGTTTCTTTGTACATCTTTGTTGTACAGGTAAGAATGATAACCGACTTTCGAGTTTGGAATAATAGCTTATTTTCATCGAACTATAAAGCAAAATTTTTCTGTATATGTAATGGTAACCATTAAAATTGTTCAACTACTGACGTAACATATTTTTAAAGGTATCCAGGTATCATATATAAAATCAGCTCTTATACTATAAAGCAAGTACATTTAAAAAATATTAAAGCTTATTGATTCCTCGGGGGGAAGCTACCGTCATAAGTGTTCGGCATAATGACGAGATTTCTAAAGTTATCCTGAAGATAATATTGAAAAAATAGCTTTATATTTCAAAGATTAAGGTCTTATTTTCTATACGTTTATCTATTTATTACCTACCCAAGTAACCACAAACCAAACCAAATAGTCCCGATAGTTCCTACCTATATAGGAGACATGTACAGAAACTTCCAACTTTTATAAAATACTGAGCGTAGGACCGTCGTGGGCTCTTGGACTATTAGTTTAAACCTAATACGTATAAAGCACAACATTATTTTTATATTTGCTTGATTCTAATTATTACTGAGAATTTAATTGAAATAAAAAGTAACACATACTAATTTGAATATTTGAATTGTTTTTGCAATTGCAGTGAATTATCAAGTTAATTAAAACAAAGTTGATCTTAAGATTATATGTTAGAAGTCATGTAAAAAAATATAATTATTTTTTTGTAACTAAACTAAATTGAATGGATATTATGGCGAAATTAACTTAATGTTCGAATATAATTTTTACTTATTTTTTTTACTAAATTAAAATATGTCTTGCAGTGTTGCCATCGATAAACAGAATGATATATTGAAAAAGAAAAATGGTGTGTAATAAAAATTGGTACTTATAACTTTACTTTCTTTGCTAGCACCATTTGCCATTATTAGTCCATAAAGGATATGGTATGATATTTACTTCATAAGAAACAATTTCATAATTTCTTAAAACATTGCCTTCACTTAGGAACGCAATGATTCTATTATTTCGTCATTTTGTACACGGCATGTGCGCAAATGAAATGGGGTAATTCGAAATTCAAATTAATAATCAACTAGTACTTAAAAAACACAGAAAAAATGCAGTATTTTGTATCCTACCAATATAATTCCAAACAGAGCGGTGATATTGCTTATAGCAGACAGAGTTGCGAACATCACTGACGTCATTGATATAAGATTGTCCTCCTGCTTCCTCTCTAAATGCCGCGGCAGACCCCACGAACCAACTATTATATTCGCTATACAGATGATCTGGAATTTAAAACAAAATAGGTAAAAAAAAAAACAAACATAAAAATGGCAACGATTTAAAACATACAGCCATGTATCAGATATGAGGTCGTATATTCATATCTGTTTCTAAAATCTATCTACGTACCACAATGTTACATCATTTGTTAAATTAGTTCCTTTGTGTTTAAATAATCGTAATTTTTCTACAAAGAGGACGTTGTTAAATGACTTTTAATTTGTTTTCTGTATTGAATTTGACATAAACTTTTGTACAAAATAATATATTGCTACGTTTTTACGACTAATACACTGTAATTTTCTCGTGATTGTTCCATGATTCATTCTTACGAGATAATTTAAAGAAAAAACTGCATATGGATTATATAATAAAGTAGATCTTTTTGCAATGTTTTTTTTTTTTGTAAATACGAGTTTAACTATATTTATAAGCTATATGATAATGCATAATATTTGAATACAACTGAGATTTTCAAATTACTCTTGAGATGCTACAGTCAGTTTTATTGAAAGAATATTCTTTCCTTTCCTATTCAAAGATACACACAAACACACACACACACACACACACACACACACACACACACACACACACACACGCACACACACACATATATATACATATGTTTGCTTTAGTTACACTTACGGTTGAAAGAACGCATAGCAGGATGCCTCCTCTCTCCAGCGAGAGACAGAAACAGCAGCGACGAAGCATTGGCAAACTCATTTTGTGACTGAAATATTAAATAATACATATTTAGCTCCATAGAGGCAAAACTTTTAAGCATTCCATGTATTCACCGTGCGGGTGCCGGAACTATCGTTGTAGTGAGAGGAGTTTCAACAGTGTCTGGGACTTGCGACCCAGGTGTAGGTTTAAGGGACCCTATCTAACGCGCGTTATACGCTCACCTCCACCGTCCAAGCTCCTCTCTCTACCTAGCCAAATTTGAAAAGAACCTACTAGAACTGCCTTCGACACACGTTTCAAGAATGAATTGACATTAGTTCTGGACAGGTTTAAGACTTTTAGTAGGGCGTTTAGAGATTTTGTGTTGGACATTTGAAAAAAGTTTATTAACATAATATCTAAAAGCCTTTATCTTCCCTCTATCACTACAACCACATTATTTTAGATATTTGTTAAATGATCACCGTTTTCTCTTTTTCATGTTTTTTTTTGGGAAACTGTTTTCATACATTAAAGAAAAAGTTTTCGAAGCCATATTAAAGGGAAAGATCGATTTAGGTGAAAAAAGAGCCATTAAACGCAGTATGTTTTCAGAGTATACGAGAAGTTAAATTGTAAGCGTTCACAAAAAACAATCACAATAAATTATAATAGCAAAATAACAATTTAAACTAGTTTTGTAATGAAAATTGTCACACAAATGTAAACAGAAGACACCTATTTAAGGTTAGACGTACATATAAAATATACATACATATTTTACATTTCTGTAAGAATTAAAATCTTGTGTAAACCCAAGTTTAATAAAACCAAATGGTAGATGTCTGTATTTATGTACCTTTCGCTGCAAAACTACTTATTAGATTTAATAAAATTTTTAGTTTTAATTCTTAAACACTTGATCCCTATCCGAAATAATACTAAATATACATATATTGTTAGATAAATCGTTTTAGTTTACGTGGTTTATTTTGGACGTACGAGAATTTAATATATCAAACACAGGAAAAGTCGCGAGTATTAGCTAGTGTTAAATATAAATGCTAGAGTGATGTTTTATAGCGTTGTCTAACAGAGTGGGACGTATTGCGGTTCAGTAAACGGTCCAAGGTAACTATCAAAGTCAAGTGCATTGAAAATAATGTCTTTAATATTACTACGTTATAATAATACTTAATTAAAATATTTGAATTACTTATATAAATAAGATAACTATATAGTCTCTGAAATCTTTAATATACATAATATACCCATCAATTAAATCGCGAAAAAATTCTGTATACACATAATATATTGAATGTATGACAAAATAATTTTTCTATTTTAAACGTTTTTACAATAATAAAATACGTGTAGTATAATCCGAAAATAAGTTTCATTTAAATGAATACTCGTGAAAGCCTTAATTCTCAATATATATATTATTTTTTGTTCTCATAATTGAATGAAATGACGCAAACCATGATGTATGAGAAACTATTTCAGTCGCCAAAGCGTCGCGACGTCGGCTGGGTTTATCACAAATACTTTATGGAGGCTGAATTAGTGGAATATTAACTAAATGAGATAATATTGAGAGTATAGCTTTTAATATATGTATAGATATACATATACTAATTAAATACTCAATGACTTATACGTTTAAATTATACTTATATCTTTAATTCTTTTTATATGTATATAGTTTTTTTTTCAGAACATAGTAATTTACGACATAGAACAGGTATGATTGATATTTTTGCGGAATATTTTGGATTTTAATCAATTTAATTTAAGAACATCTAAAAAAAAATCTCCAAATTATTGACATATTTATCAAGGATGACAGAATCTGGGATTTTGAGTGTTGCCAAATAATTTATTAATTTTGTTTTGATTTTTTTTAATGGTTTGAATAATATTTTTTTAAAATATATAACAACTTCCTATTCCTATTATTTCGATATGTTTAATGTCATAATGCGTTTTAATAATATAAAAAGCTCCTCATTTTCACTACATAATGAATAATGATACCTTTTTGGAGGTAAAATATTAAATGAAATGCAAAATATGAGATTCGGAGCATCGAAACACGCACAGCTGGTTTAACTGTCTGTGTCACGCAAGCTTTGGGCCTTTTTATTATAATTTTTATACAAAAATTACATAAAATTATTATTTTTACTAAAAAATACCAAACTTAAAAAAAATACCTAACCTTTTTTGTAATTATTCTTTTTTGTTTTAAATATTAACATGTATAGTTTTTTATTTCCGGTTCTTTATAGCTCATGCAAGAAATCGTTGATTTATCATTTGCTTTAATGTCTAAACGTACTTATTAAATTTTCATGTATTAAAAGGGAATTTATATTATTTTGTTTCCTCATTAACTTTATATGAAAGTGCTACTTTTTTCGTCTTGACAATAGCACTATTGCTGAAAGGCCTGAAAATTTCAGACCTATAATTATGAGATAACATTAAGTGACTACAACTAAATTACAGTACTTACTAATTATCCGAAAGCTTCCACCGAGTGTCAACAGATAATCATAATTTTTTACAGTCTGTATTCAAAAAACACTATCACATGCGTGGGAGTCAATTAAAAATATCATTCTACACAATACAACACAAATAACACTTAATATAATTTTTTTATGCACTAATTAATAAAAAACTGTTTATATTTCATATTGATGACAAAGGAATTATAACATTGACGATAGACATTGGCCTTTGAGTTTAAATTTAGAACGCTAGCGTATAGTACGACGCGCGTCTTGATACTACTTCAGCTCTTCCTATTCAGCCGTCCTTGATGTCGGGCATTTATTAATGTATGTTATGATTTTTCCTGAATATTATTTATTAATTAGATTCTTATATAATTGATGTTTTTTTTATTCTTATTTTAAATAACGGTCGAATGTTCGAGCACATAAAGGTTGTTTGAGACAAAAAAATGCGCTTATAATTATAATTACTTTTGTAAATAATTTATTCAATTAAACTATTTATTTTTTAAAACTATGAAGTGAAAAATAGTTGATAAACTTTTTTTATAAAAATAAACATCAATTTATTATTAATCTGTAATCTTATTGGCATTTCTTATTAATAAACAGTTGTAATTTACGACTTTGTTCGCTTATTTTGATATATATTACACAGTTACTTTGATTATAAAGTTCTATTCGATTTCTCGAAAATCTCTTAACTTTAATAATTCTGTTTCGATAAAAAATATTTTATTTCTAGGAGTAAAAGCGTAACACACATTTAGTAGAATTGAGAACTTCATTCATATTGACATCTGTTAAAACGTAGTCTTATCTATCATTATTTCTCACCTGGAAACAAAATTGTAGTCAAAATTCTTTCACCTGTTCACGAGTGTGGTCGGAAGATCAGACATGCAGACAAAATTTAAATTTGCAGTTTTGTTCATTAATTTGTTTGAAAAAAAAAGTAAAATATTAAACTTTGTAATTATTTCCTTTGACTAAAACTCTACTGCTACCCTACTTCCTCTCTTGCTAAAACAGGGCTATATTTTTCGAGTATATATGTATATCTTTAGCACACACTGGAGATTTAAATGATTGGTATTATTGTGTTAGTTCTGTCAATAGATTCGTCTTTCTCGTAAAAGTGGGACTAGAGACATACATTTTTTAAATTAAGATTTTTTCTGATTAAAAAGTAACGTAAAAAAATTGTTTCAGAATACATTGAGTGTGGTATCCAAATAAAAATATTGAAGGAGGCTAAATCACATCACACCTCATAGTAATATGCGAAGTTGGTGTTTCTATTTTTTCAGTTCTTCAATGATTTAATAAAGATGGCTGCAATATTTTAGAAGTCAGTTTTATTTTTTGTCTCTGTCTCTATTTATCTATCTCCCTCTCTCTTTTATTTATTGGCGTTTCCTTATATATTTCTTCAATCACATGTGTGAATAATACTAAACTGAAATGAACAAGGTCGAGACTGGAAAGGGTTTTTGTTTTCTTTGACGCACTATATTTCTTTTTTTATATTTATAAACAATGCTTATAACAGATATATAAAACTTCCTCCTTTTGGATGAAGATATTCTGTTAATTTAAGTAATAGCCCATGTCAAGTGAATTGTCATACTACACGTGTCGATCAGGTAGGAAATGGTATTAAGGAAAAATTTTTCACTTCACACTGAAGGGAAATAGATTGAGGAGTATACAACTATACAATAAAGTGCCTAAAACAGTAATTATATTTTTTATTATTTACATAAATAATACATAATATTACAACTTAATTTCTATTATCTAAGTAGAGGTAGACATCAGATTGTTTAATTTGATTGAAATCAGGCGGATCATGGAATTGTTAAGTTTGCTTCGGACCAAAACTACGAAGATACCCGTTAAAGCTAAAACCTGATAGGAATTTATAACACAGAAGATTAAAACGAGGGTTTGGCTGCGTATCACACCGTAGTAGTACGAAATGACATCAGTTACACAGACCTGTAAGCTTGTTATGCTCACCAGAACGAAAGTAATGCAGGTCGTTTTTAAATAGTCTTTAATATTCCTATTACTCCCAACACCACTTTTGAATGCTACACGCAATATCTCAACGAATATAAAACCATTTAGCACACACACAACGAATTTTATATGCGCGTATGTTGTGTAAAATATGTTGAAGTATGAACCTTTCATGTTCAAAAGCAAAGGGCATAGTAATGATATTAAAAATGGCGTCACCCAAGTTCCTACAGAAGTAAGAACTATATTATAAGTCGGCAATGGAAATACGACCACTAATTTATTATAAAGATTCTTAGTGAACACAAACATGAGCACAACAAATGTTATGTCCGTGTGTATGTATAGCACTAAAGTTACAGTTTTCACAATGAATCCTTTCGACTGAACGTAGAACATGATGTAACATTCACAGGTAGTGTATAAAAGTCTTGATATTGTCATCTCTGTTAGGATAATTTCGTCGAATTTCCTACATCCTGGTACCATGAAGAACAGAAAAGCTTGTAT